GTAAACTAGTCCTTGTATACCTCTATAAATCTTCACTACATTTTCCCTTTGAAGGACAGTGCAAGCAGCAAGTGAGCCCGGAGGGTGCACGGATTAGCTGGGCAATGGCTCCAGCCACGCCAGAAGGTGCCCAAGGGGTTCCCCGGAGCTGGGGATCGCTGGGGCACGCTGGCGTGCCATTTGCGCACCGTCCCACCGAGACGCTTCCAGCGCTCCCAGCATTGCTGCGTGGGAACGTCCCTTTCCTACGCCACAGGGAAGCCTGGGAGCGGAGCAGCACCGCAGCTAGCTCAGAGAGGCCCGACACTCAACATCTGCCCCTACGCCACGGGAGTTTGCCAGAAGGCAGAAGCAGCGCCAAGGCCTCGGCACTGCAGGGAGCGTCCCAGCTAACAGCGAATTGCCTGAACGGCAGGAACGGCCTCTCCAAGCCACCGCTGACCCCTGCGAGCGCCTTCTCGAGACACGGGGCAAAGGGAACCACCTGCCACATCTCTGCCTGGAGTTTTCAAGGCACGTGCAAAACTGAAGATTTCCTGTCTAATCAAAACATGTTCAGAGATGGTTGTGGGACACCTGATCTCACAAAGAATTGTTTTTTCACAAGTGGTTACAGAAAAGGAGCGGAGATGCAAAACTAAGCAACTACGGTACGAGACGTACGCACGTACAGCAGAAGCACCTGACCAGCTAAGACGTGCACTATAATATTTACCTTTTCTGGTCACAGAAGAACTTTAATTCAGTATAAAGAAAATAAAGCACCTGTACTGCTAAGCCTTTTACTGTGTGCGACTACATTTCTGAAAACCTGGCAGAACTTGGAATTGGGATGTTATTAGTAATGGAGAACCTTAGATATGACAATAAAGATACTTATCAAGAGGCCGTTCACTGGACAGGCCAACAAAGTAGACTTAACAAGATAGCCCAATGCGTTCACACCCTTTCTCCTACCAAGCCAAATGATTTAACCATCTTAAACCGAGAAAACTGTGCCCCAAAGTCGCAGTTTTTAGGCAAAACTCTCACTTCCAACTCCGAGAAACAACATCCACCTCTTAACCCTTTTTACTCCTTGTATCGCAGTCCAATCCTTCATTTCCAACTGGGGAAAGCGAGCCATAAAGACCTACCGCCACGCAGCAGCAGCCACGCCGCAGCAAAGCGACAGTCACCGGACTCCCTCGCCCCCCGGCTCACCACACCGCCCTCCCCGACAGAGAAGGGGAGCTCCCGGGACATTTCCGGGCATCGGATAAATAGTTGCTGAAGCACACAGATGGATCGGGGTCATAGCAGTCAGGATTTGCGAGCCATTTGCCAAGAAGAGATGGCTTTCAAAATTGCTTGCATGAGAACGCATTAACATTTTACTAACAGGTGCAACAGTACGGGTGAAAGTCAGATTATCTCTATTTCCAGCACAACACAGAATTTGCTATAACAACCAAATGAAAAATCTGCTTTTGGACGACGCAACAACAGAGAAATCATCTTTAAAGACAGTGCTCCCGCTCCACACCTGGCCCCACAGGCCGTCCAACTTTTGTTGCTGACTACCAGCACATCACAATTACCCGAACATTAGGCATGACTCGCATCTGATTGACGCTCTTTGGCTGGACCCGTTCTCCAAGCCTACTCTAGTAACTGAGAACAAAAGTGTCGCTCTTTGCTTTTCCCATAGACTAAATAAGGTCCTCCGTATTTGCCGCTTTTAAATAAATGTTCATAGCCTTGCAAGTTGAATCACTTCCCACCAGACCCAGCCAGGGCTTTAATATAACACAGGTTGAAGACGCCTTATTGCTCCCCCTCTTCCTTCGCTATCGTACCAAAACCAAGCTGCTTTAGAGAGAGAGATGCCACGCTGGGGAGGAGAACGGGGCAGGGAGGAGAAGGGGTTGAGCAACGTGAGCAGCGGCCAGAGGCTGCTCAAACATAAGTGACAACACCAGAGCCTACTGCTGGGAATAAGGCCGGAGCAACGGCTGACGGACACGAATACTTTGCAAACGCAGGTTCAAGGGGAACCGGGAGAGCCAGCATACACCTGCTCGCTCCACCTCACCAATGCTCCGTTTTCGAGGTCCAATTTTTCCAAGGGGAAAAAAAACATACTCCTAAATCAAGAAGATTTAAGGCAGCCCACTTAAATGAGGTGCTCTTATCTTTTTTGTGCTTGGCTGCCTGAGCATTCTCCACTTCAATTACTTGGCTGCTATTATGCAAATGAGAAGGAAGCCAGGAGTTATGCACCTGTGTTTGCCCCCCGTATTCAATATTCCTGTGAAGTCCTGAAGCCCTATTATGCGGCAGGTATGCAGGATTGCTCAACTCGGGTTACAGTAGGGCAGGTGAAGGGCTTTGCAAGCTCAAACAATGGTTACAAAGAATTCAAGACAACACAGCGGTTAGACTTAGTCTTACAGCCGAGAAGACCAAAAACACTGAATATTACTGTAAACATCGCATTTATTACAGCTGCTACTATGCCCCCAGATACTTCATGTGTGAGAAAGGAATCAGCAAGGTGGGAACCCAGCAGGCCTACCGTCCCAGACAACAAAGGACTCCAGCTCAGACATTAAACTAAGCTTACGTCCAGTAGGGTTTGCAGCATCAAGGCTCTACACGTTTTCTAGTACAGTTCATAGCGTCAGGAGGAACTTTCTTGCGTTTTGGGATATCTGCTTCACCGTAAAAGCTGTCACGAGGCTACGTCTTAGCTGTTCCGATCTACTGTTATTAAAAAAGCAGCTTCTGCTTCATCAGAACCTGCCTTTTCAACAGGCTTACGATAAACACCGATTTTGCCCTGTGCATACAAGTTTCTCTGTATAGAGCTGAAAGCCTGCAGTAATAACTTCCCAGATTGGAGGAAACGGTGAGCAGTATCTATATACACCATTACACATATTTGAAAGTGTAGTTTCTGAAGCAGCGATTAACAGCTCTACGTCTACAGAGCAACCTTACAAGTTACCATCTGAAATAAAAGAAAAAAAGTAGAGGTGGAGTTGCAAAGGAATATCAACCTGACCCTCCAGTCGGATGGAAACAAAAACTTGGCAAGAGACCCCTTACAGATTATCTGGGCCAAGACACCAACAGAAAGGCTTCTGGGAAAGACAGAAGTCAGAAACCAGTCAGATAATACAATGCGTTACCAAAGAGCACTTCAACTGTAAGCGAGGGAGTGTAAGAGAGTTCACTGAAGGCTTGCTGCCACTCGAATCGAACAGGCAGGAATAAACAAAACATCAGGCACACCAGAGCTGTACCATATAATAGATGAAAGGTAAATTCCGATAATATCAGAGAAATTTTAAAAAACGTGGCCGTGCTGCTGGAAGGCTACTCAGTATGGACAGAAAGTCATGGGGAGAGCAGCAACGCCCAGGCAACCAAGGAAAATCCCAGGCTGAAGTCTTAGAAGCAGCTCCCAGCGCCCCAGAAAGATCCGAAATGGCAGAGGGAAGGGGCAGGCACTCGTACTGGGTCTGAGCGGTACCTGCAGCAAGCCGATACCCCATCGGCTGTTTCTCTAGGCTGCTCTCAGGATCAGGGTTTCTGGGGAGCGGAGAGGGGACAGTCTGTTTGGCCTGGATCCACCTGACAAGTTGCTAGCAAAAAAAGGCCAGAAGCGTGACCACCCACAGGCAGCATCCCAGCTCTTCGGGGCTCTCCGGAGGGCAGGCAGTTCCACCTGCCTACGGAGCTGCAGAGCGATTTTCTCCGACTGCTGCTACCAGGGCCGAGTTTAGATGGACGCGTATTCCTTTTTCTACTAGCTCACATTCCTTCAGCTGTTGCTTTGCCTTTCAGCTTCATGACATAAATATTTTGTTTCTGGAGGAATTCCTACCTCTAAATTACTAATCTGTTGCCTCAGCCTTCACCTACGTGCAATCGTTTGGCTGTGAATCTGATGATTAGGAGATTTCTTGAAGTCTAGCGATGGAGAAGGAGATGAAGAGGTCTCTGGAGAGAGCGAGAAATGAACAGGCTGTAGCCCCAGTTTAAGTAAACCTTCGCTAACATCAGTGAGCGCCTCCTAAGCAAGAGTAGTCCGAGTACCAACCAAGCGTTAGGAACGTTTCACAGGACCTTAGGCGCTTCCAAATTCCAACTTCCATTGCTCCAAACAATTTTATTTCTCAGGTACTAGCTGATGCTTTTATCGAGATGACCTGCTTTCATAACCATTCCAGTGGAGAAGATTTAAGCTGCCAAGGCTAATTAATATTATACATGCTGTTGCACTAATTTACTGGTGAATTGATATTTCGTTATTGGTGCTATTAAGGAAAAAGAAACCACAAACATATGGGACAAAAAAATAAACACAGTGGTGAAACACAGCTGTGTACTGAAAAACCAAAAAGCCCGACCTTTTAAAGAAAGCTGCCCCCTCCTCCTCCCTTCCAATCTGCCAAGGAAAGCACGCAGTTTCCAGACTCGGCAAAGTCACTCGTCGGAATCCAGCTAAGGTCCTTGATGCACAGAAACTACCTCACGAGCACCTCAGGATTTATAAATTTGATATTGAATGTGCCAGCAAAGTTGTTATGAAGTTTATTGTCTGGAGAGACGGAAGCCATCCCTTTCTCTTGTCTTCTGTTCTTTTTCATATGATAGAGTAGAATTTGTCAATGTTTCTGCCAAAAAAACCACTCCACGAAACTGCAATTACTATATATTTTAGGTGTGGGAATTGTGAGGGAATATTGTATCATCATCTTTATGGTAGGAAAAAACAAGTGAACAATTCAAGTCGGTAATGCTAACAGATAACGATTCCCTCCTTTTCCTCCTCACTTCCGACAGGAATACTTTTGGAGCCATTTTAACTCTCACCACGAGGAACTAACAGAGCTGGCTTAAACCGAATCCTTTGTAGACAGGTTCTACGCAAAATTTCCTAGTGACCTCTTGCCATGTTTCATAGGCAATGCCCAAACATCTCGGCTGTTTCACTCTTTGGCCTTTCTTACACGGACATTGCCAACACTGGCAAAGCAGATAAAGCCGAAGGATATTCCCGTGCCGATGGTTTGCCATCACAGCTTCCTTGCAATACTTCTCAAAGAACCTGCACACGAGCTGCAACGACGCGCACGTCGTCTTTCCCTCTGGGACATCAGGGCTCCGCCAGCTCCGCCGAAGGCTGGTGGCGGCTGAGGCTGCAGCAGGCGGCTGCGGTGGTGCCGATCAGGGAGCTGGCCCCGCTGCCACTGCCCACGCGTGCCCGCAGTCTGCCACGGCCACCAAAGGCTGCATGGCTCCAACGAACGGGCAGCTCTCCGCTGTCATCTAACCGCGGCACACGACCCATGCTGCAAACGGCAGACACCACCGGTTACTCCTGTGCTCTACAGGCCACGCCGTCAGCAGGAGGTGACAGGACATCACTGGGAACCCACCTCGGAAAGCCAAAATTAAGTTGCCAGACGACAGCAAAGCCTCCCTTGTCCCGACATATACGTAGGATCACAGCCTGAGCACGAGGGTGGGAGCGTGACTAACATCAAGTGACAGCAGCACACAGAACATACGGCGGTGTTTAACTACAGATACTTAACACCCAAAGAAAGTATCACTAAGGCAACACGCGTTAGCAATGGGGTGAAATGCAACAACCTAGGCACCGAGTCAAGCCCAGACCACAGCGATGCCGAGCTAAGCAAGCTGTTCCCTAAAGAACGGTGAGTTTGTTTGCAAGCATTCATCTTGCTGTTCATCTGAAAAGTATCTAATGGGCTGACTCCAAGCTGGGTAGAGAAAGGCACAGGTGTGTTTCTTTACAGATAAACAAGTTTCATTATGGGTAGCGTAGAACAAAATCATTTTTAAAGGAGTTACTAGCAGATGAAAAAGACAGACCTTCCAGGTCATCGAAGGAGATGAGCAAATCCCATGGGAACTACTCAAGAGAAGAGAAAACGGGCAAGGATGAAATCACTCGGACTTTGACTCCTGACTTGGAGAGATGCGGTCACCTGCACTGCAGGTCCCCGAGATCTGAGGCCAGACAGGACCAGCAATACCCGCGCTGTGCCTCGCGTTCCTCACCCTTCTGCGTAACACAGCACGACCCGCCGATTCCCGCGTTTATCCGAGGGCCTCACTCAACCTTAACTGCATATCACAGACAGAAACCTTTTTCCTTTAGCAAGCGTTCTCCAGCTCTTGTATGGATTGTAACGAATGAACGCTGGCCATGCTGGAACCAGCCGGCTGAAGGCTCTCTCGGCTATTACAACACCAAGTTTTCCAGCGACGCTC